ATATATTTTGGACACCTTGCAGCTCACTGTGTTAATCTTATGCTTAAGGAAATGAGTACAACATCTTTATTTAGTGGGGTGATTTCAAGAGCTATGTTTGTTGTTGGATTTATTTACAATCACACCATAGTCCTAAGCATGATGAGGTCTTTTACAAAGAAGAGAGAATTAATGAGACCAGGTATCACTAGATTTGCCACGTCATTTCTCACTCTTCGAAGCCTAGCCAAGCAAAAAAGTGCCTTGAGGACCACGTTTGCTTCAGAGCAATGGAGTCAAAGCAAATGGTCAAAGCATAAGTATGGGAGAAAGGCTGAAAAAATTATTTTGAATACATCTTTTTTGAGTCAAATAATTATTGCATTGGAAGTGGCTCGCCCTTTAGTGAGAGTGCTTCGACTGGTTGATCGTGATGCGAAGCCCACCATGGGCTACATACATGAGTCAATGACTAGGGCAAGAACTGAAATTAAAGATGTTTTAAAGGATGATGAAAATATGCGCAAGGCTATGCTTGAAATTATTGATAGGAGATGAGATACCCAGCTTCACAGGCACCTTCATTCAACCGGTTATTTTCTAAACCCATCTCTTCACTACAAGCACCCATCCATTGAGTCAGATCGTGTAATAAATGGTGGGTTCTTAGATGTGCTTGAGACGTTGGTGCTAGACAAAGATATCTAAGATGAAATCCAGAGCCATGAATTGATTAAGTTCAAGTTAGCTTTGGAAAACTTTGGGAGAGAGATTGCCACTCGAAATAGAAACACTACAGATCCAAGTAACGGCCAAAAGCCCAAAAATAATCTTACTTGTCTCTTACTTTATGTATAGTTCCATTGTTTATTTTATACCATTAATTTTTAACTATATTCTAAATTATAAAATATTATACAGCTGCATGGTGGGCATTATATGGAAGCGAGACACCAAATTTACAACATCTCGCTATTTGAGTGTTGAATCTCACATGTAGCTCATCTGGTTGTGAGCGCAATTGGAGTGCATTTGACCATGTAAGTCCTTTACTCCTTATTCCTTAATCCTTATTTCTTGAATTTCAATTTTCTAATCTAAAATCTAATTTATCTGATTTCAAATTTTTACCACAGCTCTATAAAAGAACAAGAAATAGGTTGGAGCAGAAAAAGTTGAATGATTTGGTTTATGGGCAGTATAACGAGTGGCTTAGGGAGAGGTATGAAAATCGCACGAAGCTCAACCCTATTCAATTATATGAAGCTGATGGTGATTTCATAAGTGAGTGGACCGTGGATCCAAGACGAGCGTGTGTTTGAGGGTGAGGATCTTACATGGCTTGATGTCGAGCTAGCAACAGGGGTTAATGAAGAAGATCGACCTAACACTAGAGCACAAAGGAGTAGAGGAGCTGCTGGGTCTAGACGCACTCGCACATTAGCTTCAAAGGTCGAGGAGGAAGCTGACTCAGAGGAGACCGATGAAGAAGAAAACATGGAGGCCGTCGAGAATGATATTGATGATGCGCATGATGACTCTCAATATGACTTGTCTGATTGATATTTGAAAAAATGAAGTTCAAATTTCAAAATTGACCCTCAAAATGGATGATTGTATTAAGTTATTAACTATTAACACTTTTTGAGCTTGACTTTTGGTTTGTATTTTGTAATATCACTATTTTGTGCTTATGGTTGTTGATGGTTGTGCTTATGGTTGTTGATTGTTGAATGCTTTATGAAGCTGGTTTCAAGTTTCTAGTTTCTATCAGGGGATAGTGGATAACTGGATACAAAATCTCCGACAGCTAAAGGTTTGAAGTTAATCATTAAACTAAAATACCTACTATCACATATATCACCTTCATATTTTTTTCTATGCATTTAACTTTTTTTTTTTTTTTTAAGTAATTTTTTTACATTTATTGACCACATCATCGCGATGCACCCACATCCGAGCTGCATCGAGCCGCATCGGCCCCCCATCGCATCAGGGCCGCATCCCGCATTTTAAAACACTGGGCCCCACACATCTCTTATATATTATAACTCAATATTCCAAGACAATACATGCCTTACAATAATCAAAATGACCTATATATCCTCACTTAAACTTAAATTTCATAATGACAATCTTACCCCTGTGAACAGTATCCATGAGCAGTATTCATAAATAGTACTTGTGAATAGTACTCATGAAATAAAATAAAAAATAAAAACCCTAGAATTCCTTAAAACCAAAAAACCCTAGAAACAAACCCTAAAATACATACTTTAAAATTAAATAAAAATAAAAAATTAGAACAATTTTTTCCTCCCATCGTACCGTAAACTCAAATTAGCATCCAATTCCAATAAACAAGAGACATTGCCCTTATTCAGGTTGTCCACAGCTGACTTCGATTTTCCATCCTAGTTAACAAAATTAGTGCTCCTTGTCGATATGCCTTCACAGGAGCTTGCTTGAATAGAAATAAATTGCAGTTTAAAAGAAAACTTTCCTAAGATTATGATTCAATACGCAACTAAAAAAATTGCAGCTATTGATGTTTTGAGCAGGAGAATCCAGCTGGACTCAAGATCGATTTTGAACGGTCACAACACTTGCGAGTCTGGACCGTTTCAAATAGCCACAACAATTAGAATTCCAATTTCTTTTATGAACAATCACAACCTTTGAAATTTCAAATAGTCACAACTCTGAGAATACATAAGGCTTATATGAACAGCTCCAGACTTATGATGTGACTATTTAAAAAAAAGTCAAAACATCACCCCAATTTTATTGAAGCCCTTCGTTTTTTTATTACTCAATCAATATGACCCACAATTCATGGACATTGTTACTCGTAATCAATCCTTAGAACATGTGTATGCACACAAAGGCAATTAAATTTGGTTTCTAACACTTTGTCGTTGGCGATTGCAATTACAAAATGGCATGTACAACACCCTACAAACCAAAGGTAAGCATCTAGCAAATTCCGACAATCCATGTGATCAATAAAAAGCATCCAAACAATCCAGAAACACATCAGACTCTGAATGGTGGAAGCAACCAAGTTTCCTATTAAAAAAAGAACTAAGCTAAATGAACAAACATGACCACTTTTTCAACCTTATGAATCGGTTAGTCTTCACTCTTAAGACCAGTAAATATGAAGTAACCAAACAAAAAGTGAGGTGTATGTAAGTTGATCAACTATGAAGCACATCTGATCCTGTGGTACAATAAATTCATATTTCTTATTTGTTAATGATCATAATATCCCTTCACCAGGAAGACACTATGTAAATAAGTGTTGCGATCAGATAGTTAACAGCAAAGTTATTAAGACAGGACCAGACCAACCAGTCCAATGGGTCAAACCACAAACCAGGACTGGAACAGGTCTGATCTGGACCTGAACAGGTTAAACCCAGTCCAAGTAGCTGCCCAGACAATTGGACCAGTCTGTTGTTCTTTGTTAAATTTTTTCATTAACTTTCTATTATGATGATGATGATTTAGGTTTATTTTCTATGACCAGTGCATCCAGTTTGGACCGGCTTGATACCCTCACCACTTCCATGGATGTTCCTGTCTTAATACATTGGTAAATAGTGTTGCCTGGCTACTTAAAAGAGATCCACTATTCACATCAAATACTTTGAAGTTATTGAAAGATGATAACGAGTCGACATCAAAGTGGAGCACATAGCTGCATCCCAGCATTATGTGTAGCCAAGTGTTAAATCCTCAACATATGAACCAAATTTAACGTATTCGCAAGAAAAGTCCTAGCTATACATTACACTTGAAGGACTGGTGTACTATCATTGCATATGGCACATGTACTGGAGGACATAAGACACAAATGGCCAAATAACCTCTTCTAGGCACAAATGGCTGATAAGAATGAATTCACTGCGCTCCATAATAAATTTACCTCAAAAACCCTGCAGCCATACGCAAGGTCATGAATGCCGCCAACCCTGACCAAACTCCATATAAACCAAAGATTGATGGAGCATAGAATAAAAATGCAGAAGAGATTGCTGAAATAGTAATCTGAACAATCAACAAAGACATATCAGAAAGCCATTGAAAAACATAGATATGTTAGGAAATAAGCGCCTCAGAGGATGCTACATACCATTGACCGAGCAGCATATGCGAAATCACAGATCCCAAAAAGGAGTCCATCAAAAACAAAAGCAAGAGCATTGATAGGTTGGCTCCCACAGACAAACTGCTCGAAAACAAAACATGATTGATATGAATGTACTAAACTACTTTAAACAAGGCAAGGCAATCCCATGGTAAGGAACCAACATTAAATTGAAATCATTACCAGCACACCAGTTCTAACAATTGATAATACTTCCGCATCCTTAGAGAATAATTCCACAATGGAACCAAAACAAGCACATAGTATTATCGCCAAGGAAATACCAGTAAACAGTCCAGTCTGAAAATCAAGGGAAAAATTTATGTTCAGATTCAAGTTTGCAATGGAAGCTGATATATTATTAGTGAATGCAAGAATAAAAATAAAGGTTGCTGCTATAACGAAAAACAACAAACCCGAATTAAATGATAAAGTAAGCTTATAAAATTACCTTTAACACACAATATGTAATTTCTTTGACTCTCTTGTACTCTCCCTTTGAAAAGGCACTTGCAATCATGGCCTGGAACCACAGAAGCCATTGTCATGAAGATGATATCAACACGAATTACAGAAGACAAAGGTTTACATAAATTCAAAAGGTTCGCAAATATACTTGTATCTCTCAATTCATCTGCACCAAAAACAATTTCCAGGTTTCCAACAATTGGAATCATGACCAAGCTGTCAATCAATCAAAAAAGGAAGAGAACATTTGAGTACAGAACTATCAGGGTCAAGAACATTTGAGAATGGCAACCATTTTCCTTTCTTTGACTCCAGAACCTCTCAATACTCACTTTCGATAGTAGCAAGGCCTTTTGACTTGTGACTTTCTCTTGTTATTGACTCTCCTTTCCCATTCAGGTATACATCAATCAGTACGCTTGGTACAAATCTCCCATTGATGTATGCATTTTCACAACAATGAATGGCAGATAATAATCAAAAAGAAAAATATTCAAAATATCATCAACTCCACCACGGTGTCCACGCCATTGGCAGCACACATAGAGTAGACTCTATCCTAATTCATGTTCTAATGTTCATGAACCTCGATGTATTATCGAAAATAGAGGGAACCAATATTGTTCCATTGTCGATAATTTATAACCTCTTATTTCTTGTAATACTGTAATATATATTTATATTGTAAAAATTTAAATAGAAAAATGATTAGAATGTTTAGTGTAGGTCAATTTGTTTACTTATGCCCTTCCTAAAATTGTTATAGATTCAAAGAGGAAAAATTTTATGTTTTTGTAGTTGGAAGGGATAAAAATAATGCATATCATATTAGAAAAGATAAAATATTCGATAATAGCAACAATTCTATATACTCTCAATCCTAGAAAAGTAAAAGAAAGGTTCAGCTTGTAAGAAATCTGAGGGAAGCAAATAGTAATCCACTTCTGGGTCAAGTTTGATTAGAAAATGCAGGTTATGTACCAAAAAATCTTATATTTTATATTTCACAATAAATCCATTGGAGTATTAACTAGATATTTTATATTTCACAATAAATCCATTGGAATACTAACTATTAGAGAGAATCCTTTAGTTTATAACTGTTAAAAATTAATAAAATACATGTCCACCTAAACTATAAGTTTTAAAATGAATCAACTATAATTAACAGTTAGAAACATATATTCACTAGGACTTGTATTATTTTCAACAAAATCAACATGTTTATTATCTGTCTCACTGCAAGGCTTTCTGCAGGTGTACTAATAACAGCTACAAATCACCAAAGTTGCACAATTTTAACTTAGAGGCCAAGCATAAACAAGGGAGCTTTATCAGAAGTTCTATCGTCAGCATAAGCATCCCTAGAAAGAAATTCCTGGCAATAACTACGCCAAAAAGGTCTCAATTACGTAAAAAGTGTGGCACTAGAAGGAGACAACTCACGCAAGCAAATAAGAAATGTAATTTGCATAATGTTACTCATGAACAAAATATAGGCAGACCACCAAATTATTTTTCTGCTTTTTCTTTGGTGAATTTATACAACTTATTAAAACAATCCACTCCATAGAAGATAAAGTCAGATATCTTTGTAGAGAGATGAACAAGCAATAGAACTTTGTAAATAGTGTGTGCACATACACATCAGAATTCAGAGTCAGGTCTAAAATCCTAGTCACAGTTTTCAGTAAGTTAACCACTACGGAGAAGCTTCAGGACAGTCTTTAAAAATCGCAGGGCTGACAGCAGAATCAGCAGGGAGGCAATCAGTTCCTCCACAAACTTGGGAACTGTCCCTTCTTGTCATAAATCACCCAGTTCACTGTACAGATCTGGGCATTTTTTGTCGGAAAATTGCCCGACTCTTGAAAAAACCCCAAATTTCATCTTTATTCCCTTCTCAGAAAATAGATTCCAATCATATTTTCCAGATTTCTTGCCGGAGAAAGTTTCTTCCTGATACCTGTTTTTAAAATGATTTTTGCCCAGAATCGGTACCTCCCAAATAAGCAAAAAACTTGAGGTTAGTTTGAGGGTTTGAAAAGGGAGTCAATAGTTCGAAACTTTTTGGAGAAAGAAAGTGCGGTGAAGAGAGATAGATAAGATTCAGAGGAGTGAGAAACTCAGGCTGTTGAGAGGCCCTGTTGAAGAAGCCTAGAACGAGAGAGTGGAGACAGAGGAGGCCAGGAGAGATGACCCGAGCAACAAGAGGAGTTTTCTGATTTCTTTCAATTGAAAAATGAGGTTTTCTTGGTTATTCTTAGCCAAGCCTACGGATGCCGTCCTCTTCACTTTTCAAGCTTATCAGGGTTTTATGGTTCTTTCTCCAAGTCCAAGCTTCAAGAAATTGATGGGTTTTCATCTTTCAAACTTAGGATGTCCAATTTTTATCTTCAAGCTTCAAGAATTCTACATCAACGAGCCTTTATCCCTCTGAGTTATTGCATTCTTTGAAGCAAGATATCTGTCAAATCCAGGATCTTTGTGCCGAGATGGATCCGCTATGGCGCTCTGCGGCAGTGCAAGATCAGAGAGATTTTGAAACTTGGATCAAACAAAAACAATAATAATGTAAAACCCTGATTTAAAAAGCTTTCTTGCATGAGTGCAAGTTTCTAGAAGCAATATAAGACTAGGAAATTGTTGCAAATCCCAAAATGTTAAGTTTGTTGCTTTCTTGGAGATCCAAAACTTCATATGTGAATAAGATCTATCAAATGATCTGTGAAAGCACTCAAAATTCAAACTTTAAATGTTAGCTCCAATTTAGAAGACGATAATAACAAGGCGGTATGAAACGGGTTCATGAATTTCACATGTGACTTTCTGACTAAAAGGCGGAAAACGACAACCAACTCATTACACGAACCATCTACAACATTCAATAAGCATAACAAATAAAACCCGTTCAACAATTTTCACATATGGCATGCTAGTAGTAAATATGGGACAACAATTAAGAGCCACTAAAATAGGACACTTGCATGTGGTAAAAATTGGTTAAGACCCTGATAGTTACATACCTGACCTGACATTGCCATTGCATCAGTAAGGAGAGATACGGCCAACCACAATTGAAAGCATAACTGATGAGCAGCCATAGCTGATGGTCCTAAGCGTGCTGCCATTGATGTACTTAAGGTCATGGTGACTAATACTGCTAAAGTTCTGCCAAGAAGTAAACCACCTACAAATGAACCATGAATGAAACAAAGGAGTGACTAATGGAACATCATTGCATCCCATACATAAGTCCTTGGCTAAGTAATAACCAAATGTGACCAACAATTGTATCATGACATCAAAAAATACAACAAATACCACAGAAATAGGGATATACTTCATAAACAACATCCAGTGAGCAATTGAAACAAATGAGTAAATGTTGTGTTCACCCAAACTAGAATTTAAGACATTTCAACTTTTTGCTTGCAATATTTCCAATATTAACAATCTGATCAATAAAGGCTGAACTGTATGCCAATTCAAAAAAACAATAACAACAAAAAACATCTTAAGCTTCATAAGACAGCAATCGATCATAAGATCATATAGGGCTGAACATGAAGCCTCTAATTGTCCTAGTAAGAAATTGAACTATCTAACATGGTTAGAACCCAAAAATTGACTTGGATTTGATGAGAGCCCTAATGAGTAATAGGGGGGGAAAACAATAACAAGAAATAAACATCATCAGCTTCATAAGACGGAAATCTGTCATAAGATCATATAGGGTTGAACATGAAGCCTCTCATTGTCACTATCTAACATGATTCGAAACTCAAAAATTGACTTGGACTTGATGAGAGTGACTGGACTAAAAATTCATCCTAATTACCCCTTATATGGTGTAAATGAAAAGAAAAAACTACAACATTATATGTTCTATCTGCATAATTTCATAAAATATTACCTACAGCACATGTGCACATAATAAAAACTTACACACAACACAAATTATGCACACACATGTACATGTACACCCAAATGTATATATATATGTAATGACTGTGTCATTAGAAATAGATCATACCAGCTGGTCCGAGTAGTTGTACCACCAGATTCAGTTGTGAAAACAGCTGGATCTTGTAAAAAATCTGATCCTAATTATATATTTGTATTTTTAATATATTTTAGGGTTTTGACATGTTTTCATCAATCCCACCAATTTGATAAACAGTCAAACTGCTAACAGAACCAGACCAAATACTTTTCCAATTCAATTTATGGTCAAGTTTGATAACACTGACATGACACACACAGGATATAAAATGCAATCTCTGTGAAAACTTAAAATATAATTGTTGATGTGATATGTTGTGCAGGTTATGATCTTACAAGTCACACATACACGAGTGCATGCATATGATAGTCTGTATGGATCAAGACAAGCACACTAGCACGCATGCACACACAAAAAACAATGCTAGACAAATGTTCACACATAGAAACAAATATTGACAATTAATACAAAATATAGTATAGAAGTGATGATATATACAAGCAGTGATTCAAAAAGCGGACCGCCCAGTGCCTAGGTGGCCGCCTAGGCGGTCCAGAAGGTCTGGCCGCATCGCCCAAGCCTAGGAAGCCAATCTGGGCGATCGATCCTTGGGCGGCCGACCAGGGGCGGAAAAACCATTCGGTGAGGGCATTTTTTCGTTTTTTTTTTTTTTTTTTTTTTTTTTTAAGTGCCAAAAATTAGGGTTTTAGGTTCATTTGAAACCTAAAACTTGTTGGAGCCAAATTTAGAGAGAGAAAGCCCCCAAAAAGCTAGATTGTGGCAAATTTTTTTGGATCGAAGGGTTACTTAAAGTTAACAAAAATTCAACAAAACATCACCCATTGGTATTATATTTACTTTTTGATGTTTTGCAAAGTTATTAGGGGGTTTTTTAGAAGATTTTGAGTATTTAGAAGCATCTTTGAGGTGGAAGTTTGAAGATTGAGCAATCAAACCCAAGATTTTCTGATGATGAATGAATGATGATTGATGAATGTTGAATGTTGAATAATTATTAAACTTTGAAGTTTGAACTTTGATTGAAGTATTGTGTACTGATTATTGAACTATTGAAGATTCTTTTGAGTCTTCAAGTATTACTTTCATAGTTTCATAATTCGATTTTGTTTTCTTCCTCATGGTGGTGTACTGCAGTACTGATGTGAATATTACTTGATAACTTGGTTTGATAATTTGGTTGGTTGGAAAATTTTAAGTTTTAAGTGGATATGGAGTATGAACCGACTTATGGATTATGGTTATGCTTATGGAGTGTGTGTTAAACGCTGAATAATATGTAGTATACTTTGAATTATGTATTGCAATATATAATGGATACTGACATAACTGCAGAATGCCAGAATCCTTATTTGGATTCAACTGGGCCACCCAGGTTCTAGGCGCCCGCCTAGGCGCTGGGCGGCTTGGACCCCCCAGGCCTCCCAGGACCTGCCTAGAGCTTTTTGAAACTATGTATACAGGTCAGGGTCCAAATCATATCAATGAGAGTGCACGTATTTATGCATATGTACCAATATGTGTGTGTCTGCATGCGTGTGAACGCCTACTATGTATATGTTAGGTAATGTTAAAGAAGTCAGATTCGTCTACCCCAATCCAAGAAGATGGTGCTCTAGGCCCTAATAATGATATTTGGGGGTTGGGTTGGACACCAAACGCCCCAAATTGATCATACAAAATCATAATTTCAAAACAACAAAAAAAGTAAGTAGTGTCGAAGTCCCTCAGACTCATACATACAAGAGTTTAAGCTCAAATTGAATATCATAAGTCAAAAGCTATCGACATTCCACATCATCAGTTCAAGATGCCTATATTCTCAAAATCAACATTCCACATTAATTCATCATTATTAACAAACCGTAAGTACCAAGAAAGCGCATGTGTAATTGCATAAATAAAAACATTACATCATATATGATGAACTCCAATTGGCAATCAAGTTTCATCATCATTACCAACAATGTCTACATTTCTACCAACACCACCATATGGATTTGATGATGATGTCATGCCATCATCACCAAAGTCATCTCCCTCCTCTACATATCCTTCTTCCCCGGTTTTCTAGAATTCTGCCTCCTTATCCTCCTTCCTCACTCTCTTCAATCTCTTCCATCAAGATTGAGATCTTGTGGTTCTCACAGAGCTCAATACGGAACTTAGGAGTAACTCTAATAGGCTATAAGATGAGGTAAAATAGATTAGGTGGTCTGGCCATGCGCAGCTTTGATCTAGAACAGCACTGCTTTGAATGAGCGATTTGGTTCATATGGAAGGCTCTAAAAGGGCAAGGGGAGGGCCCAAAAGGTCATAGATAAAAGTAGTGAGAAGAAATATGGTGACTTATGGTGTGACAGTGTATGGCCCTTGATAAAGCCGAATGATGGAACAGGATTCATTTAAATGGTTAGTATAACGCTCAGATGATGATGATGTTGATATATATATATATGTAAATATGAAAGAGCATCATGTTGCATGGTTAAGCTCATGAAGACATGAAAATCCACCAACGCGTTAATATGTTTTATATTCGACTTGAATATGCTTGCATTTCCTTTTCTTCTTCATGATTGTCTAAGCTTTATAATTTTAAGCAACAAAGAAGGTTTTCCAACAAAAAAAAAAAGGTGGGGCTCCCCGAGGGGGGAGGAGTAGTTTTCTCCCCTTTCACAATCATGTTGCGCTTGACACTTGTAACCATGGATGACCCATATAGCTTTTTTTATCAGTAATAAAAGATCCGTTACTTTTAGAAGAACGGTGCAAAAGAGGAATGAAAAAGGGATGGCAATGCAACAAGACCTAAAAAGGTAAAACCTTCATCCGTAAAGAAGCCCATGCACCACCATTAGCAAGTGTATCAACATTAATGTTAGCTACTTCCTTACATGTTATAAAGACAGGGGACTTTCCAAGGCTGATATAATCACCAAAAAAACACTTAGTGCCAAGGGAAGATAACATTCCACTCGCCCACCCTATTGTTGGCCATGTTGCCTTTCAAGGCCTTAAAGTCAAGACTCTTACACTCAGTGGGAGTTAAAAAGAGACTCAATCTGAGTGGTTGGCGCACTGGGGCCAGATTCATATACCTCGAGTATTTGAGGCATTGAGATTATACGTTTTGAGAATGTAAACTCTCGGGGAGGTGTAACAGTCACCTCCCAGTCAGGACTATATTGATTAGAATGCATCATAATTGATGTGATAAGCCAGGGTATGGAGAATCCAATCGAGAATAATAGAACCTGAGTATTTACAAGAGTATTCACCCTGCATGGAATGTTCGGCTCATGGGACATGAGCCCATATCCTGACACGAGACCGTTCCATGACATGTGCACCCACAATTGTATGGAGAAGCCACTTTTCTATAGTATTATCCGACTTAGAAGAGCTAGTGCACATGTGCTTTGAGAGGACCCTTGTATTTGAGTTGAAAAATGTCCCACAGGGGTGCACCAGTAATCCACTAAACCCTCGGTGACGAAAAGCTCTGGCTCAGCGACTTTGATGTGACTAATTATGTGTCTCTGCCATAGATTGTGGAATATTGGTGCATTGGGTTGGCTTGAGACATCGGTGGAACGTTATTCGGGTTAGCCTAATGGAAGACTCCGACTAGTGTTATAAATCTAGAGATCTCATTTACCTTTGGCCCAAATTAATCTAAAATTGATGAGAAAATATTTTATATTAATGAGAAATTGTGTAATAATGTTGAGAAATCATTTAGAGAATTTTTGGGATTTTTGGAGAATTTTTTAGATTTTTTAAACAATAAAAAATGTGATTTTTAAATTTGTTTGACATAAATACCAAACAAGGACATCCTATGGGGATGCCACATGGATCCCAAGTGATCATAGGGATACCACGTGGACCCCCCACCTCCCCACTCGTGGATGACATCATATCCATATGGGGACCTATTCGTCATTAATTCTTTTGTTGGTATTATGTTATAACATGTTATCTTGTTATTTAAAGTATTATATATCGTTATGACTTAAGTTTGATTTAAGTCACATGTTTTTTTTTTTTCTCATATGTGCCACTTTTGGCATGTGTGAAGTCATGGGATTTTGAGAACTAATTTGATTCATATTATTATCCACATATGAGTTTGTAGCATGTGGGTATATCTTATGTGGCACCACCTTATGGGCTTGACCCATGTGAAACTTTAGTGTTGTTAAATTCCTATTGGTTGTGTCATAAGATATTTTATTCACATATGTGGATGTACCATATTACTTTTATGTCCGTGTCCTTGTCACTCTCACAAATTATTCAAAATCATTGGCATAAGTGTAAACATGAATTTGGACTTGATGGAAAATAAAACATGGAGCTAAGGCCTTCAAGGTAAAATGATTATAAACCTAGGTTTTAAATAGTGAAGGGTGTCAAAAGCTCATCCATTGATCTTGGTAATGAGATATGGATGAGTGGCTTAAATAAAAGCCTCTCATATGCCATTGATATAAGGCATCAAGGATCAAGATCAAAACCATCTTTATGATCTAAGTATAAAAGTAACTTACGAGATCAATTATAACCCTAACTTGAGTATTCACATCAAAAAAAGAGAGAGAGCCCCCTTGACAAAAATGTGGCCACTCATGAGACTACCTTCTTCCTTGAGCTTTCATTTGAAACCCTTTCATAGAGTAGTCCCTCATTTATGTGATCAAGCTCCTACTATTGCTTCATTAAGGTATTGATTTTTCTTCTTATATTTTTAATTCCTACTTCATTTCCATTATCAAAGGTTGTTGTAATTCTTAGTCACAGTACCTTTCTTCATTTTTGGTCATGAAAACTTGATATTTGAAGAGTCTCAAAGCAATAGTGTAGTGCATACACATAGTATGTGTAGACATTGATTGCTCCATGATCTTGAGTAGTTGCAACTTGATTTTCTTGATCTTATTTTTCTGGAATTTTTACTAAGAATATACAACTGATGAGAGGTTTATTTCATCATATTTGAACATATAAAATAGTCCCTTGGGTTCCTTTTTTATTGTTGAAAAGTTTGTGTGGTCCCTTATGGACCACATGGTGTAGTTTCACCATAGCTTCCTTATTTTGTGTAGTATCTCTCTCAAACTTTGAAATGCTATTTTGATACATGTCTCTCTCATAATTTGATCCCCATTAAGTGAAATAAAAGTGATTGTTTGCTTCTCATTGGATTGATCTCCTTGAGTTATTATTATCACCCGTGCCTTAGACAATGGGACAAAATTAAATCCTCAAAAGGCCCTTTCGTGGCCCGAGCACCAGGGGTTCGAACTATGGCTTCCCCATGTATGTTTGCATGTTCATTTGGTGTATTTACAATTATTAAATGGATTCATGATTTGTTAAATTGAGTATGTTGTGTGAATATTGAGATTGTTCTTTAATTTTGCGGTATGAGCTTTAATGCTATGCATTATTGTTTATGCAAATTGAAATCTTATTGGATTATTATAATCAAGTGTATGATGTGTATAAGACATTGTAATATATGATGAGGATGAAGAATAAAGACGGAATTATTATATAATTTTGATATAATGAGGAATTGCGAGTGCAAGTCATGCAAAATGTTGTAGAGATGTACATTGTGAATAATTGAATATTGTACTGAGTTTAATTGTATTTTTGAGTAAAAGATTTGTAAGAGACCTATTAGGGTTGAATTTTATTATTGAAATGTATATAAACCATGTTTGTAAGCTGGAATATATGTATTATGGTTTTGTATTGAGATATTCATGCATTTAAACCATTGCGTTTTTATACAATGGAAAAAATTTAAAAGATTGCATTTCTAACCCATTGGTCTTATACCACCAATACCTATCACATTGACACAGTACATGACCAACAAGGCCTCCATCCTCTGAAAGCATGAGTGCAATCTTAGCAACAATGCACTAACCTCTAAACGAGAAAGTCATAACAAACTCCCATTCCCCAACCCTCCAAGTCCTAGGTTGCCCTACAAGCATCTACCAAAAATATATTTTAGCATCTACCAAATATATTTCAAAATCCCCACTGCTGCCGGGGACCACCTCAAGCTTGGCTGGTATTGGCTGGTATTGGCTGAGCAACATAGGCCTCCGAACTCTAGGAGGTCTACCAACCAGAATCCATAAAGCTCCAACCAAAGCCCAAACTAATCCATGATACTCTATAGGATTTACCCCACCATCTTCCGACTCCCATCCTGTAAATACACTGTTATCACACTCCTTCAATAACCCCAAGGAAATTCTCGTAATACATGGTTGCCATATGTTTTGCATGTGGGTATGTAAATATGTGCTAATAGACCACCATGATTTGAGATGAGTGCATGCCAGTGAGAACAAGGGCTATCTACATCACTTTGCAAACCAAATAGCCACAAAGTTGAGTCCATGTAACACATCCAAGAACTAGAAAACAACAAATGGGTTTCATATCTTTACCTCGCTCAAGCAACGACTTACATACAAAATAAATCAATCTGAAATGTTCATGTGAATAAGAGTACTAGCAAGAAAATTCTTACCATCTAAGAACACTTACCAGACTTTAGATAGGAACTAAACTGTAGATCTTCCAACTTGGGAGGAAGCAATTTCACTTTTTTACTAAGGAACCACAGAAGTAAAAATGTAATAATATACCTGAAACACAAACAAACAAATAATACCATGAAGAATTTTAAAGAACATATAACAAGCAAAAATAGGCTGGTAAACTGCCTAGAAAATATAATTTTTTTCAAAGGTGTAAAAGCATATTTTCCATGAGAAGGGATAAAAACAAAGTAATTAAGAATGTATGTTTTACTGTACTAACCAATCCTTTTTAATTGAAATTTAGCACGGCATTCTTTAATCTTATGCATTCAAATGAGCATACGATAACCATGATTTTGCACAGAACTATCCAAATAAATAATTAGAAACATGTCACAACTTGAGAAGGCCAAATATTGTGCAGTCAAGAAATATCCTTTATGGGTAAACCAGGTGACAGTGTCACACAATAGCACACATGACAACTCTCCATTTCGCAGTTTGAAGTTTATCGAGTGAAGATGGCAATGCCACCAATGCAAGCTGATCCAGGTAATTACACCACTCAAATTCCTAGGCTTTAAGCTTCAAAATTTGTATATCCCAGTTCTATCGGCATCCTGGCCAGACAAACCACTTATTCTCTACATGGCTGCTTTGGAAGTGTCATTAGGAGCCCTTCTCACCCAACATAATGAGGAGGGGAAGGAGGTGGCTCTATACTACCTGAGTCATACGACGATAGGTGCAGAACATAATGATTCGCAATAGAAATGATGTGCCTCGCCGTAGTGTCTCCGGCTAAAGAACTGTCATTTTTTGCTAGGTCACAATGTACAACTGGTATAAATGGGAGATCCCATCAAGTATCTCATGACCCGACCTTTACTGACAGATCGTCTAGCGACCTGTACTGACAGATTGTCTAGCGACCTGTACTGACAGATCGTCTGGCTAAAATGGACCTTACTCCTGATGGAGTTTGAGATTACATATGTCCCTCAGAAGGCTGTGAGGGGACAAGCTGTAGACAATTTCTTAACTGCGCATACCCTGCCAGAAGAATCTCCTCTAAATGAAGACCTTCCAGATGAAATGTCATGTGCACTCAGGTCCGACCAATTGGCAGAGATGCATTCCAATGGCTCATCCCAAAGCCAAGGAGCTAGAACTAGGCCCTCTCTATAAAATGTCTTCGAAATAATGGGTTTATAGCTCTTGACCCAAACCCTGGTTTCATGCGTTCAAATCCCTGACATACATATCCAAAACAAGGAATTCATTTTTGAAGATATTAGGACCCAGAAATGTAGTGTCCATGTGTGTTGTGATAGATAGAGCATAGTTGTTGGGAGCATTGATTGGGGTCAGGGTTGCTCTCTTCTTCTTTTTTTTTCTTTTTTTTAAGCAAATGTTAATGGAGCAGGGGATTGTTGCTTGCCAAAAGGCTCCTGGTTAAGGGGCACCATGAGAGTGCCTATATAATAAACATCCAAGAAATAAATAATTAATAATGTGATAAATTTCAACTATTAACTTGAGGATTATGATGCTTGAGTCAGATCTCAAAACTGATCTATAAAAACGCCTAACTTCTGTAAAACCCAGATTTACGTTGTAATGCATTTTGTGGGCCCCACAATGAAGCCCTGCCAAGGAAGAGACATGGTCCGCCCCTCAACAACTTTAGTCGAAAGAGTGGTAACTAAGTTGGAAACAAGTTCCCGCTCTCGGACTGCAGTCTAGGAGAGGAAACGCTACCTTAAATGCAAGATCCAAATAACAAATGAGATAAAGTCATTGAAGAAATACTGCCAACGGACCCACGCCACATATCCACAAGAGTGGATTCAAAAAAAAATAAAAAATTGATTATGTTGAATCGGGATTCCTCAAAATCTCTCGATAGTTGACCAATCCACAAAATGCCATCCATTAATCCATCAATTAAAAGAAGTAAGAAAAACACCAAATACTGTGAGACAGAAAAAAATTAGACTGAATGAAGCCACAGCAAGAAAAATACAAGGAAAATGAGGTTGTGCCAGGCTGATCACCAATGGATATACACAAAACCCAAGAGAAGTCAATGGTATGGCCAAAAGGCATTGAATTTCCCAATATAATTACAGTGGACACTAGGGGGATTAAATGAACTTGTGCCAAGTAGAAAATAATTAAAGGAAGGTCTCCCTAATGCCCCAATATAAAAGAAAACCATACACACAAGACATAGACCAGCAAGAATGAAATCTAACAGAAGATAGTCAAAATGGGATAAATTGCACAGCTTTGATGCTGCTTTGCCAGTTCTAATATCATGTCAAGAATATCAAAATGCCTTAATTAATGAAGCATGAAGAAGAGAGAGAGAAATGATTGCAAGCTTGAAGGAAGCATCAACAGAATAAATGGGGTGACAAAGACCTCTTACATGCAACATGTACAAAGAACTGTAACTACACTCCCTTGGGAAAATACAGAAATGACTAGGATCACCTTACCTACATGATCCAACTGCATGAAAACTAATGTAAAGGATAAATAATAACATGCATAGACAGAAAAAAAACATACCCTCATAACACACTATACAGGACAATCTCTTAAAAAACAAAATCAGTACCTCTCAAATGGCAACAACACAAAGGAAACCCTTTGTTAGTGTTGAAATACAATATTACAACAATATTAATTTCATTAACAGTTAAGCTCATTTCATGATTGTAAGCTTCAATGGCAAAGGGAACACCATAGGATAGAGACCAAACAACTTACTGGGATGTAACTGTAGCGATGGCAGCACCAGTTATACCAAGGCCACAGAAGTACATGAGCAGGGGAAACAGAAAAGCTGCCGAGAGATTACCAACCCCTATAAAAAAATAGAATATTATCAGAATAACAAACATAACAGAGCCAGAAACTATAATTAAGCATTACAAAGAGTTCATAGCCACATAAACCACATTAAATAAATATAAATAAATGACTTCCAGCTGTTGCAATCATAAACTCTGAATCTGGAGCACAATCTCTCCCTTGAAGAGTTCATATGTCATGTGTATTGCTATTGAATCAAACTCAAGGGTCGCTCTCTGTTTTTTAACTCAGATCAAGTCCTTAAAGTCTGAAAACAAACTCTAACATAATGCATCACAGAATGCACAGCACAACATACGGAAAATCAACCTTAGACATGTTGAATTCAAAGTGAGAATCAAACACTATAATAACAGAGAAGGGTAACTTGTAGAATGGTCTTCCATCTACAATGGAGATCTTTTCCATCAACAATAGTATAATAGAAACAAGAATTCACAATGGAGATCTTACACATGGAACAAACCAGCAACTTGCAGCACAAATCATTTCCATTTGTGTGTCAACAAGAGCATATAAGGCTGAAGACATGCATGCTTAGAAGTTAAGACGGATGATAATTAAATCATATATAAGCTAAATAAATCCCTTGGCTCAATAAAATTTCCTGTAATCCTCATAAAGTACAGAAACAAATGTTCTTTCCTGCAATGTTCAGGATCAGAATCTCTGCATTAAAAAGCCCTTCTTAGCAGCTTAAATGATTTCCCACACGACCTAATAATGTCATGAGTCACATCTCACATGTCATAATATAACAATGCTCTGGTTCTCATGATGCAAATGTGAACATAAACAAATGCAGAAGCGAGAGTAAGGCCTCATTTGGAAAATGGGAAATAAATGGTATATTTGCATATTCATTTTTACCTACAGCACTCAACTCTGGGGTTATGCCAAACCCTTACAGTATAGTGAAAATCGTTAAAAAGGTATTTCTTCACCCAATTTTACTATAGGTTTGGAAAGGCCCTGTCCCTCTTTCAAAATTTACTATATGAACTAAAGTACAAAACAACTAGTGCACGTATGGCATTTTTTAAAAAAAATATACTTTAGGTAACCAACTATGAATTATAAAAGACATTAATTAGACAAAAAAAGTTAGAAAAAAGCATTAAATCTGATATAAATGCAAATGACTATATCCATTCCAAACTTAGAAAGCAATAAACAACCTAATCATCAAAAGAAAATCAAAAGATGTTAAATAAATTGTAGCATAAGAAGTAAAACCAATAAATAATTATAAAATAGAAGATTATAGCATGTGTCATATCTTTCAATGTTTATATTGCCAAGATTGCTGCAATTAATAACAACGAAGCCATATACTTGCATATACTACCACAATAGAAATTAAATGATAACTCAGTACAGCTATGATTCTAAGCCTTTCGTCATTATTAAACAGGACAATAGGTTAACCCAGGCACTTGCCTGTACAAAGCATGGGTGTTTTTGTATCTTTGAAACCACGAAAGACCCCTTGGACAGCAAGAGAAAGTACCACAGCAGGAGCACCTAGGGCTCTCAAAGAAAGAATTCGTCGAGATGGACCGCGCATTGGTGAATCCTGCAATGTAGTTAATTTGAAAATGGACTCATACTGCTAAGGATAAAATCCATCAGTAGAAACAGATGAACAAAACACACATGTGAACATCCACATAAGTGAATCCTGCTTAGGATATTAATTTTGAAAATGAACAGAGATGTGCAAAGACAGAATCCATAAATAGAAGCACAAGGCAGACACATACACAGATTGGAGTTTAACTCCAGTACAGGACGATAGCAATAACACCTACAGTGCAGCCATTTCACAAATAGATGGCCTATCCATAAGCAATTGTTTATGACTAAACTCCGACAGGTGACCAGCCATTTGAGCTCAAACAATATTCTTTAACTTACCAATGATATACCCATTATGTTAAGAAACATTCCAGCTCCAAAGTATAAAGCAGCACCTTCAATGATACCAATGGTAGCCGCTAAAAACAAGGCAGTTGATACAGAAGGTAATTGTTTCCTTTCTGTTATCTCATGCACTTTTGGTTGGAGGTCACCATTATCAACTTGATTACTTTGGCCTGCAGAAAATTGATCACAAGCTTCAGACCAAGATAAAGTGCTCTAATTTAGTATTATCTATGGCATAACCAATTATTTTAGTACCAAATGCTTACTGGCAGGTGCTGCATAGAAGCCCTTCCACACATCAAATTAACTTCACCTGTAATTAGGTCCCCGCTTGCACATTTTGATATGTCTTCAGCCACAAATGAAGTCGTGACACTTAGGAGAGGAATATTGAATAACTTCGATATGACATTGAAAATTGACATGGAAACACCAACAGAAGCCAACTCCACCGCACCTTTTGAAACAAGCCAACATCAAAAGAGTGTTAAACTTGAGGGACCCCAACAAATGCATGTGCAAGCTCATGCCACATACACCGTCACGCACATACACACCATAAAAATCCAAAGTGATTTTTTTAATGTTCTAGAAAAATATTTGTCTATTTTATAAGAGAGGATAGACCTGAATCAAACTAGGCTTCTAAGATAGGATACCCATAAAATAGCAAATGAAGGCCAAGAAAATTTCGCTCCTTTATAGCAGCACATTCTATGTAATAGTGTTAAACACATAAGAATGAAGCAAAAGCCATTCTATTGTTAAACTCAACTTCTTCTTTTTTCATACTGATAAATTCTGTTATTAAAAATAATAATAATAATAATAATAATAACAATAATAATAGATAGAAATGTGCCTCACAAAGAGGACAACAAAAGGACAGGTAACCCAAATAATTTAATATAATGTTGCACTCTCAAATTGGGTGCTCTGTGATGCAAATGTCAGATATGCAAAATGCAGGAAGCCGCTATCAAATATTGGAATAATCTAACGTCACCAGCTATGCTACCTGGACATAGCTACCACCGATGTCACATGTGCATCATTACGGGGAGCATTGTATGTCATAGGAAATCCTGCTTCAGTGCCTCAATCTAGCAGTTCAGAAGTGGGATCTTTTAGGGGATTTTTTTCTTTTTTTTCTTTTCTTCTTTTTTTTGTGGGGGGGGGAGGACAATATGGTCCTCCATCACTTAGGATCACACTCCGCTAGATGGTGACCCCCATTGGCCATGGGAGCCCAATCCTTCTCTAGCAGGGTCTAGATCCAATGAATTGTGGGCTCGAGTTACCAGAGGTCCAGGATCTCGTCCATACCTAGAGTGGAAGGGTGAAAGAGGATCTCCTAGGTGGAGGCCTCTGGATGGTTGGAAATACCGATGGAGGGTGACCTTTATAAGAACTGAAAAAGAGGTCAAAAAAATGCAACCCGTTATCCACATTCTCCATTTAGCACCAAACCCCAACTTCCTTAGGACTTCATCCAACGAGTACTAGTCTATATAGTCATACGATTTTTCCCTATCTAGCTTGAGTACATGATCGGGAGACATGTCAAGATGCCTAGAGTGGATAGGATCGTGAGTAATTAAGGAAACATCAACGATTTGTGTGAATTCTATTAAGCCACTTTGGTTGGGGGAAATGACATGGTCAAGGACCTCCATAAGTCTAGTGGCTAGGTCTTTGGGAAGGAGTTTGTGTGAGAATTGAGCCAACTAATGGGTGGGAAGTCCCTGATTTGTTCATCTCCTTCAGTTTTTGGGATTAAGGGTAATAAACGAAGCATTCAGGCCCTCATAGACAATACCCTTAGGGTGGAACGCATCGAAGACAGCGAGCACATCAAGTGCCAGAATGTCCCAGTACTTGCTAAAGATCACCATCTGGATGCCATCTGGCCTGTGGACATTGTCCTCCCCAGGTCAGATATAGCATGTAGAATCTCCTCCTTGGAGAATGGTCGTTTAAGCATGAGGGCCTCTTCAGCTGGGACATTGAGGATCAGCCATGCATGGCCAGGTGTGATGATTGCTGTGAAGAGGTTCTGGATAAATGAGATAATGCTACTGGAAATTTCAGTGGGTTCTCCAAATGTATGGCTATGGTTGCATATATTGATGTGAATGATGAGGCTGGCTGGCATCTGCAGTTTGCAATTTCAAGAATAAGACAGTGTTCCCATCTCCAAATTTCAGCCATCTTATCCTAGACCATCGGCACCAGAAGGTTACTTCTTGTTTTATGACAGCAACGTATATGGATTTAATATTCTGCCTCCTAATTAATTCTGTCCGAGAAAGCTTCTTAGATTCTTCTAGGAGGTCCAAATGATCAATCTCGGAAAGGTGTGCTTCTTTGGTGGAGTTGAAATTCCCAGGTAGATTACGGCTCCAAATTTATAGGGCTGCCTTAAGAAATTGAGGTTTTTTCTACAGCCTGAAGCCCGCCCAGCCGAAGGCAGAAAGAAGGACCATCAGGACCAAACCAAACTCCCAAGATGAAGTCCGAGAACCCAACCCTATTAGCTGTGATTCTATCGTTTATACTGGTTTCGTAGGAGACAATGAAGTCACCTCGAATGACCCAAGGGTTGGGGGGAAAGGCAGTCAAGCTGTCGAGTTCTTCCCAAGAGAAGACTCTTATCTAAGATCTGTTGGTCCAATAGATAGCTGTAAATTTCCATTGTACATTATTTGAGTTTCAGGATAGGCTGATTAACACCGAGAAGGTATGGACACAGGTGGCGGAAAGCTAATGGATGGATAGGTTCTAGATGCCCCAGATGCCACTAGAGGCCCCTTGGGAGGAGGGTATGGAGAAGGAGAGAGACAAGAAAACAGGGTTCTTCAGCAGTCGGTGATATCAGAAAAAGTGACAATGTGGTCGGGTAGGCTAATGAGCAGTAGGTAGGCTGTGGGGAAAGGTAATTAGGGTGGAGGGTAAAGAGTCGGATGGGGGAGGGTAAAGAGTGGAGCTGAGTCAGTTATGGTTCAAGGTGGGCTTCACAGGATGCGGGCAGAGAAGCAGAGTTCTGGGAAGGTTGTGGAAGAGGGGTAGGGGATATCCATAGGATGGGAGCTATAATATGATTGGACCCAGGCAAAGGCAGTAGATGGGTATGATCTTTAAGTGACATGTGTGGTCCCCCAGTGTATGATAGGAGGGATGAGACCTGAAGTGGAATGGGCTGGCACCACACCAATGGTGTTAGGTGACACCACGTCAGGCAGCACATGCTCTGATTGGAGTGCCTTTCTTGGGACATTAACCCACAAAGGATGTTCTTCATTAATGAGTTTTTGTCTTTTTCATTTTTCCTTTTTTTCTTTTTGGGGGGTGGGGGGTGTTTGTCCAACTGGTACACTAGAGGGTGACATGCTAGGTGGCTCATTGGGAGCATCATTAGCTGAGTTAGTTGAGGCAAGTGTGGAGGATGGGTTGAGTTGGCATCCTCTCTACATGACACAATTGACCATGTGGGTCCAGACAAGCTGACTTTTACATCAGGCTCTGTCAATATAGCATAACGTAGGGTAACATTTGATGGCCAAATTAAATGTAGTTAAGTCATGGGCCACACATGGGGAGCCCCATCATCTAATGCGGCTAGGATGTCAGTGTGGACCTGTGTGAATGAGGCAACGTTCTCTTTATTGGCCATGATGGTGCTCGTTCAGTTGTGCTAAGTCGGTCGGTGTGGATTGGTGGTGGTATAGTGATGCACTGCATTAAATGCGGGTGGAACTCAAGGGGCGTTGAGGAGGTTGCATGTATGGGGAGGAGATATGCACGGTTGAGGGAGGTTTGTGGTGGTACAGGGTTTGGATGAGGGGATACAAATGAGGCCGAAGGGTCTATGATGGTTGGGATGTGGTGGATGGAGATTGGACAGACAAGTGATCTAATTTGGAAATGTGGGGGGATAAAGTATGGTAGGTTAGGTATTCACTGTTGAGCAAGTGGGGTATGGATGTTGGCTGGAACCTTGGAATTTGTAAGAAGGTAGGGGGTGACTATGGTGAAGCAGCTTGATAAGCTGGCAATCATCTGTACAGAGTTTCTGAGCTGGCCTTCGCAAGGTGTGGTCAGTGAGCCACCTTTCTGCTGAGAATGTTTCCTTTTCCATGTCCATTGATACTCCGTGGTCATGAGTTCAGGAGCTTGATTGGACATGAAGCTGCGCAATGGCAGTGGGTAGAGATGGCTCTGTTGCAGACCATAGGACATGGATGTGAAAGAACATGGGTTTTGGAACGAGTTTCAGAATGGTGGTTTGATTTGGATAGTAATGGTGCCTAAAGACAATTGGCTGAGGGTTTTCCAGTTAATCATAAGAACCCCATCACACTTATTTCCAATAGCCATGAAAGTTTCCTATTGCCATGCATGTGCTGAAATATTCTTGGCTTGTATCCACAGCCTTGTTTTGTGGAGACCAAAAATCGGATAATGAGCCCGCCACCCTTGAAGCTGTAGTAGCTGGCTGGAGGGAAAGGAGAGGAGGTAGCCACTGTTTGAGAGAGCTATGCATTTGATGAGAAAGAACCTTGATTGAAGCCCGTTTCTAGATCCCCCTGATGTCGTTCCTGGAGGGACAGGAAGTGGCAATGGCAGAGTCTTAGAAAAAGTTGACCCTTTATTTGATGAAGTTTCTCTCTACGTTAAAGGAACTGCTGCAGGTAGATAATGGAAGAAGGTGGATGATGCATTGACATCACGTTGTTTAACTTTAAATAGCTGAGTTTGGTTTGGGGTTGGTAGGAGTTTTGTTTGTGGACAGATTGGGCGGATTGTTCGAAGGTCGGGTATGGGCTTTTCAGCATCAATGAACGTAATAGGGATTAAGGTCTAATGAGGTGTGCGCAGTCGTGATAGAGGGGAGGAAAGGGATGTGAATCTTGTTGTCGATCATGTTTGTCATAAATGACAAGGTCTGCACTGTTGGATGTGGTGGGCAGGGGAGGTCCTGTCCCAGTAGAAACTTATGAATAGAGCAACTTAAGAATAGAGATTACAAAAATGGAGGTGGTAGGTGGAGGGGTTCAGAGGCAAGAAGGTGAGGTAGAGATAGACGGGGTGGGGGATAAGGAGTCGCACTGAATAACTTACGATACATTGGGATGGTCAACTGAGGAGAAAGGGCAAGGTGAAAGAGGAGGATGAACAGTATTGGAAGGGGAGGAAAAAGAATGAGAGTAGCCCATTTCTTAGCAAGGTGAAAGGGGCATTGGGTTGTTACGGTATTTCAGGTTATTATGTGTTTTTTTTCCTTCTGATGAAGAATAAAAGAAGATTAAGGAATTATGTTTTGGATGCCGGACCTTACCACACAGATTTTGGGTGCACTAGAATTATCTATGCATGTTTTTCATTTTTCTGCACCTTGTCATTGTTTTGCTACTTTGTAATAATTTACATTTTTTAGACTTTTCTATTTCCATCTTCAAATTTTTCTATGTCATGCTTTTAAGCTATCATTATGCAAGCTCCATATATCAGTGCCAATGAAATGGTCACATTGAGGATTGGAACCAGAGCCAATAACTTGACTTATTTAGGTGACACAATAAAATCAAACAGATGTTATGAATTATCATCTTGAGTATAAACACAAATATGCTCAAAACTTTGTAACTCTTCAATTGTTTTGTTCTTCTTTAACAATAATCAAAAAGAAAATCTCCATCGAACATAAGGAAATCTAAATAACATACAAAACAAAAATCAAGAAACACATCAATGGACACTAAATAACACCAGAGAAGCCATAATTCATATTTTTCTATTAAATCATAAACTGTAAATACGCTTTCATGATTAAAGACAAAATAATTATGTTTCTCTCACAAAAAGGATGTCAGAGTGAATACCCAATCTTCCAATATAAGCTGTCTCCATCAATTGTGCCAATGGATCTATTGCTCTTTCAACAATTGCAGGTAAAGCAAGAATTACAAGCTCACTCTCAACACTTCTAGAATATGACGGGTTGCTTGAAATTCCCACCAAATCACTGAGAGAAGAAACAAGAAGTTATAAGTCCAGTATACTATTTAGTTAATCCAATAGCCGAAAGTTCTTTGATCATCTTGGAGACACAAGAACATGAAGCTATTCAAGCATCCTAGACAGCCCACAACTAATATAAACCACAACAAGGTAGAATTCTTAAAAAGAAGTCCGGATACTACATAAAAACCCAAACATGTTCTTAAACAACAAGCATAAACAAATACATCATATGTTGCAGCATTAGTAATTACAGTATTGTGACCAGTTATTCCACTTTCCACACATAAGAATATTCAAAAGAAAAATAGACACAAAATGCCAATGATCAAATGTTGCTTTTACATTATAATAGACAATAATTGCACATGAATTTTCGTCATTAATATGATGGACAATGAAGCATTATAGAAATACAGCAAGAGAAATAGATGGTGTAGAGGTGAGTCGCAAACCTTACCCAATGCCCTCCTTTATAATCCCTAGGAGACTTCGTTTGGTTTGAATGACATTAGGATCAGTGCTGTATGAGTCCAGACCACCATCTGAGTACGAAGAAAATTTTGCCACGGGGATATTACATCTTTTGCAAATAATACGTGTTGATAGTGGACACCCCTTATAATCCAATGCTAGAACTGAATTTCTCAAAATCGTAGTTCTTGCTCTCATGGTAATGCCAAGAATGTCAGGTGAATTAATGCATGCAAAAGACCTCGACATTTCCTTTTTTGGTATTCTTGGGTATAAAGTACTTGAGGAGCCATTTGAAAGTGAAACTCTAGGCAGGATATCCATCACAAGATGCTCCTAATCACATTCATCAAGTTTTGTTGACAATCATCAAATCAATCACTGCAAACACAATAAACAATAAAGAAAATCCTTAACTCAGTTCAAGAAAGATAACGCCTGCAAATACAAAAGTAAATATGATAAATAAAAAAGATCATAAAAACTAATCTCATAGATACTATCAACCCGTATGACCACCTTTTCACAAACCAAAGTAGCCAAGTTAAGATTCTGTCGATAAACTAGAAGGAAAATGACTAATATCCAATTGGCTACTATCAGTTTTCTTTGATAAGTCATGAATAGCTGGTTTTCTGGACTTCTAATAATGAGATGTAGCAACAGAAATGTGTAGATAAAGAAAGAATGCAGTGTCTGATATAAGATTGTCACCTGGGCATGACTACAGGAGCAAAGTTTCAACGCTTTGTAATATTAATAACAGGTGACATGGACACTACAGAAACACCATAGAAACAGATGTGTGGTGTCCGATGATGTCACCAATGTCACACCCAAAGACACAAGGTGCTGCCTCAAATGGTTATTATTTATTTTTAAAAAGGTAAAAAAAGGCTATTCACAAAATAGAACAATTTTTTTCTTTTTAAAATTGGTATACTTTTTTTTAAAAAAAAATATTTAGTATAGAGATGCAATTGAGGACCTCGAACCTAGGCCCTTCTAAGGTGAAACCAATTACTTTACCACAAAGCCATGCACTTCCTGTGTTCTACGTGTTAAAATTTCATTTATTAATGATATTAAAATTTGAAATTGAAAAACATATATGAGCAAAAGGGAACACACCTCCTCCTAATATGAGAGGCCCCAATTAGATTTTTTTAACCCAAAGACAGACCGCTCTCTCTATATCTAATTGGGTCCATTTTCCCTACTGAGCAAAAAAACGTATAAGAAATCGGGTTAAATAAATCTCTCATAGTATCAAATATAGACAAAACTCCCAAGATCAAAAGAGCATATCAAGTCAAAGCTTTCTATATGCCCTGACTCATAAGCCAACACTTGTGGTTCTACTTGATTGTATGTTCAAGCACCAAAAATCTATCATTGCACACAAAGTTTAAATGTTTTATACATGTTTGTAATTTTTATTAGTTTAAAATATTTTTAATTCTTTTATTTTTATAAGTATTTATTTCGAACTTCTTATTTAAGAAACAACCCCGTGCCTTGATTTTGGACACTCTCTGGATACATGTCAGACACATTTGTCCATATCCATTCTAGGCAATACACCAAGAAACCCAAATCGTAAAATCTCCTAAATGGAATTTGTAAGAAGCACATGATACGTAATAGAATTTTTTTTATTTTTCTTTGGAGTTAGTGGTAAGCAATAAGGCTCCCCCAATAATATAACTTTGGAGCCTCCCCCACAGGGAAGCCACAACAAACACTGGTATTCTTGAACCAATGCTCTTTACGGATCACAACACCATCAAAAGGGAATAGAAATAATAAGTAGCAAAAAATACAAAACTTCAAAGTGGATACTACATTGAACTTGTAGAATTCAAATTGCAATCAATTTACAAGAGAAGGCAAAAGTTAAGCAACAATCAGCAAGAGGAGAAAACAAAAAGGAATCAATACGTACCGAAAAGAAACTAAAATGAGACTCAGATTCTAAGGGCGTGTTTGATTACAGGAAGATGTTGCTTCCAGGAGCTGCAGAACTGTAGTCATTCCTGTGTTTGCTAAACGGGCAGGGCAGGGCTGCTTTGGAAGCAGTGCGAAGAAGTCGTGGCTTATCACCGCTTCCAAAACAGTGCAAATTTATAATGAAATTTGGAAGCTGCAGCTTCCATGCTACTCTATGGAAGCCAAGAAGTTGGCCTCTTCCACCAATCAAACATGCCCTAAAGAACCGGAATGAAAAAAAAATCAACCATGCATAACCAGAAGTAATTAAAGAAAACAAAAGAGCACAAAGAGTAAAGCCAAATTTGTCAAACAATTTCTTTTGTTTTTGGCAGTTAAAAGTGACCAAATTAAAGCAAAGCAATTCACAACAATGCACACACTGAACCAGTAAGACTCGTTTTCCCAAGCATTTACAATGAACAGAAAGACAAAATGAAGCAAATACACCTTTGAAAGGAAATCCCAATAAATAGTAAATGAAATGCACAGAGTATACAGAAAGAAAACATACACAGAACCAGAAACATTCAAAATACGAGGAATTAACAGTAATTCAAGAAAACCACCAGTTGTTAATGTCCTGCAACTAAGAGGCCCAATTCGCATAAACCCTAACTTAACAACATGGCGATGGTGACGAGGATGAAAACTTCGAAGCCCTTGATTAAAGAATAATGAAGCGGCAATGAAATTAGACGTTGATTGATGACGACACGCGGCGCGGCTTCGGATACGACCAAATAGACACGTGTTTTTCAAAGAAACCAGCGGTTTGTATAGAGCGAGGCTCTAAACAATCAAAGAAGATCGCACCTTCAGATACTGCCGAAAAATGTGGCTTCCATACTGGAAATCGTTGTGATTGCCTTAAAATATGTCCATCTCTATTTATAAAAATTAATTTTATAACTTTAAAAAAAGTGTTGATCAAACAGATATATGATAACTTGAAAATATTAAAAATTGAGGATCAAAAAATATATTTTAAGATGCACTATTTTCAAAACTTAAAATTCTTTTTTTTTTTTCATGTCGATATCGAGATGATCAATTTGAAGATATTTCAGCATCAAAATAACTTATTCTCGTAAGTCGTGTCACTAGTGATGGGTGAAATGTAAATACAAAGCACGCACGAGAGGGCAATCTTTTATTTTATCTTTTTCGTCTTCTTTTTCATTGTTTATTCGATACGCTGGCCCGCCATGCCACCCGATTCGGCTCTAAATCATTATAGTTGGGCCGGGCTACGCCAGAATCCATGAAACTGCGGCTCAATGATAATTGGGCTATGCCATGATTTATGTAGGTGTATCTCAAAAGTTTTGCATGCTCCTACTGTCTATTTAGGGCAGTGATTTAAAAGGCACCGGATCGGCATGGAATCGCTCGAGCTGATCCGAGAATCAGTCATCTCGTATGGAATACTCACATGTCAATCACATGTATAGATAGGTATAGTGAGAGAAGGGCTCATCATTGGATTACTACGTCAATGATTTATTAATAACTCATTTATGGCTAATTTGGATGGAACAATTACTTCAAATGAGCCTTTAATTACAAGAAGTTGCCTCTTTCAGTATTGCAGAGCTTCTTGTTTTTGTAAAATAGAAAGGGTTATGCTGTTTTGGAAGCCATTGATTTTAAAATGAAATAAACTCATGCTGAAATTTGGAACCGCAACTTACATCCTATATACCACGAAAGTGGTTGCTTCCAACTTTTGAAGAGCCGGTCTCCACCAATTATACACGCTCTTTTAAGTGTTTATGTCTCTATTGCCCATTTACTTGAAATCTTGAAAATAGATATTTGGTTTACTTTCGTATAATTTAATGAATCTCGATTCTTTGATGTCCCAAATAAATAAATAAGAAAAACTTGTTTTTCTCCTATTACTAGTAACATCTTTTTATCTTTATCAAGCCGATCGCCAAATTGGCTGAGTCGAAGATCCTACTGGCTGAGTCGAAGTTCCTACCTAGAAACTCACCTAATTTTTGAGTTTTTCCCTATGGAATCTTTGAGGGCATGATCCAAGCCTATTCTTACAAGCTTGGAACTGGTTTGTGATTTTCAATCATTAAAATTTAATATAGAGTTAAACTTGTAATAAGTCCATGCGATTCGCACTTGGACTTGCCAAGATTCCAATTTGAGCCCAATCAAGGTAGGGGGTAGCCCAGCCCGTCCTAGCCCTAAAAAACTAGGGCCTGGTCCACAAAAATGTGGCCTGGGGTTGGGCTTGTGCTAGGACAAGACAGGCCTAGCCGCCGTGCCATTGATAGAGCCAAGGCTGCGCTTGGCCCAGCCCTCCAAGGGAATAGTGTCGGGCTGGGGCAAAGGCTAGCCTACCCCAAACCCGGCCCGTTGCCAGCCCACAGTCGAGGAAGTTGGCTTGGTGATGTCGCAAACACTCAAGAATTAGAAGTTGCTCGGGATGTGTAAACAATAAAAATTTAGATGATGAGTATCCCATATTTCATGTTTATGTCATATTATTTCCAAAGTTATTGTGGCTAAAAAATGTTGTTTTTAAGGTTTTTTTTAAATAATTTAATATTGAGATTAAAAAAGAGTTTATATAGAGCCAAGGCTCTAAACAATCAAAATTAGAGTGCACCTAAAAAATTTCATTAGAAGAGGTTGTTTTGATGCTCAAATTGATCATATCAACATCAACATGCATGGACATGATAAAAAAATGGATTTCGAGTTTTGGAAATAGTATATTTCGAGTTTTTGGAAATAGTAATATATTTTTGGACCGTCAATTTTCAAGATTTTCAAGTTTTCATATATCTGCTCAATTTACACTATATTTTAAGCTTGAAAATTTATAATTAGCAACAAAAATATATTTCAAGGCTGTCACAAAGATTTTCAGTATTGAAAGACATTAATCGATGTTATTTGAAGGTGAGCTATACTTTGATCGTTTAGAGCCTCGGCTCACCCTTAAGAAAGCTTAGTTTCTTAGCTATCCACAACAAATACTTGTGGGAGCAGGGTATCATCACATGTTTGACCAAATTTTTATCAATTTTTTCGAATACAACAATAGGTTTTTTTTTTATAGATGTCAATTTTATTGTTCATCTGCTATAGCTACAATGGAATCCCATAATTGTGGTGAAGAGTCACGTTATTACAATAACCATAACAAATTATCTTGTGCATTTGTTATTACTGGAACTAACAGTTGTCCTGGGTATTTTAGTTAGAATTCCAATGATATTTAGATATGTTAAAATTAAGTAATTCAAATTTATCCAAACTAATTGAAAAGATAGAAATATTATCCAAAGGACACGGTTTCTATGCGGCCAGCCCACATATTGTAGAAATGTGGGCTTGGTAATAAATATATATTTTAAATATAATTTGATCCTATTTTAAAAAAATATATAATCTTAGATATGACGATCAAGAATATGAAAAAATAAATAGATTTTTAAAAATAAAAATAGTATTTACATCAAGAAAACATTTGGACCATTAGTTACAATTGTCTTGGACTACCTATTTGCATTCGTCTTAAAAAGTGATGCTTTATACCTTTGGACCATATGTAGTAGAAATACAGTACAGCCCACATGAAACAATTTTCCTTATCCAAATGTTCATTTATGTTGATTAAACAAGGACTGTCAAAGTTTTGTCGTTTCTAAACCGAACACCCAAAAAATCGATTTAAGTTGGTTTAGACCAGTGTTTAAAAAAA